TAAACTCTAGTAAAGTACACTCCTTATCCCTGAGCCAGAGTAGGCGTGGCATTTGAACATGGCACGGAATTGGTTACTCGTGGAATATTCCAGTCTGGGACAACTGTCATCTTGTTCTGTGTTGGACAGAGACACGACAACAATTGTGTCAAGATGAAAATATCTCACCAGAAGCATAGACACCTTCAGGTTAAGTTGAAACATGCGGCCACGCCTACCCGATCTCAGGGATTTCGAGTATAATAGCGAGTAAGTTCTGTAGTACACAGACGTACAGGCCAGGATAAGCACAAAAATGCAAATGCCAAGTGAAAATGGTAGAAGATAGAGAGATAAGGCTAGTAGTTTCTGAAGTAGTTACGGTCAATTTGAGAGAAACCTGCACGCTCACCTCCGAGGACGATCCTTGCCATGTGCGAGGTGAATGGGTCCGCTTCTGTAGCAGCAGCTTGCCGCTTTCTCCGCTCAAAGGTTCACGGGAACGGGGCTGTAAGGTAGTGATGCCCAGGTGCTGTCCTCATACGCGGCGCCCTGGGTTGGACGCGCCATCCTCATGGTGCAGTACTTGCGTACCGAGGCCCCGCCGCGAAACACGCCTTGAGCGGTATGAAATAGCCTAAAGTATGGAGACGGCGGACATCGCTATCCCTTCAGCTCCGTTCCAATGCCACTGTGACCGGAGATCGACCTGTTACGCTACTGCAGCTGCGGATCCCACTCATCTCGCCCAAGGCAATGACCGGGATCGACGGATGGGAGTGTACAGTCGTCAAATAACCCTTCAAGAGACTACTCTTGATTAGAAAAAGCTGCAGAAACCTCACCTGAACACAACTGACGATAGTGGACAGGGCAAAAATGGTGAGGCATTGTTGATAAGTAGATGTGTTGTCAAAAGTTCCTTGAGTATCCATCTGGAAGTTGCTCGATGAAAAGGACAGATCAATTTGAATATTGTGATGGAGAAAAATATGCAAGGCACTGGACCAGAAGCACGGCGTACATCTCTCCAGAAGCTGCTTCAATCATGATCGGCTCGCCCCATACCCACACACCGAGCGTGTCACGCTTGGCTCCAGCTCGCCAATGGAACCCGTGTAGTTGGCAGTCATCTGTCAACCAGTCCAAAGGTGTATTGTTCTGAAAAAATTGATGAGCATCAGACAGCGAAAAGTGTTAAGACGCACTTTATAGAAATAGGACTGAAATCAGTTCAGAAACTGAAAGTGGCTCAATAAAAAAGAAGGAGATGGAGAGAGAGAAGAATAATTCCCTCCAGACTAATGAACCCTCAGAATTTAGTAGTATACATTATGAACAGATGCATCTACGGACTTCTTTCACCAAGGTCTTCCCTCACTGAAAAATCGAGCCGGTTAGCGCGATCTTAGGCGGTGGACGGGCTTTAAGTGAGCTTTACTTCAGGGCCAAAAGCCACCGTGTAATGTTGTTGGATTCAAAAGAACGAGTCACGGTGCCTGTCACGCTAGCTTGGTTTATACCTCCGTCTGCGCTCAAGAAAGTCCATGCACTATAGCTACTATTGGTACCCTACCAACCATTCACACGCGAAAGCAAAACGCTATAATGCATCCTGTATCAGCCGAAGGCTTGTTCCGAATACAGGAAGCAATCAGTGATTCTCCAGAACAATGATCCGCTAGGAAAGCTTGTTACCAAAATCTCACCCAGTCCCCACCTAGAAGCCTGGCAGGCTACTCGTGTGTATGTCGTCTAGCCAAAACCAATAGAGAAAATGACCTCACTTTCCTGAGGAGCTATCACTGGGAGGGGACCCTACTACAGGCTACAAAGATCTCGGGGCCAGCTGCCTAAAGTGAGAATTCATGGAAGCTCTACACATATGGAAATCAACGGCTCTGGCTTCTTCTTCTCTGAAGAATCCAACGGACTAGTGTGACTCACAACAGGGTCAGACGTTGCCGGGGCCCACCTGAGAAAATCGGTGAAGGAATAGGAAACTCATCTCATTATGGAGCATAAATCGGTCCAACTAAGCCTCTTATTCCTCCAGATTCGGCTTAATGATGGCATTCTTATCTGAGATAAGACCAACTTGGTCCTTTCCTATTATTAGAGGGAGGGTCTTCCCGAGTCGTGAGGACAGAATCCATACGACCAAGACAGACTCTTCTAACATTGTGCATCACCTAAAGGTGCCCCTCCACTTTCTAATACTCAGAATGGGGCACACCAAGGAGAAAAGCACATTCTTAGGCGTGACCCCCCCAAAACCAGCGTGCACTATATTTTCTAGCAAATAGCAGAATACATTTTCATGCACAGTGCCGCTAGGGGAAGCACGTAGAGGGCTCCTTGTGTGAAACTGTAAGACTTGTAATAGGAAACAGTATTTTTGCTCAGTTCCAACGGGGAAAGAAGCTTCGGGATGGGTGAACCGATTTCGAGTACAGCAATGCTATCCGAAGTAGGACACTACACGAGGGGACCTTTAGATACTCCCTCAAGACAGACCTGACCCCTCCCCTACACTGCCTGGAGATGCATTTACGATTCTGAGCGGGCATTCAAGCGTTGAAATGTAGTGCAAACCAAAATTTACATGCTCATCCTTAACACCTCTGTAACGTTCCCACAAAAACCCTTAGGTTTTGAAATCGTTGCATGGAAAGTTTAGAGCATCGCCTGGAACAAGTTTCTAAATAAAGCTCCGATTCGTTGAATGGTAGACCGAAATTGGGCGCCGCCCTGTGCAGACCTTGTGCGTTGAACGAGCGAAAATTCTCACAGTAGCACTTTTTCTTTCCCTTTTGGCATTTCTCGGAACTGCCCCGACGAAGGAAATATTTCCCATCATGGACTAGGAGCATATCCGTGTAGCGGAAATGAGACATCACTTCGAAGCAGCGATGAATCATTACTCAGAGTGGGACGAATAAGTCGACAGAGCTCATCAGAGTCAGCTATAGCACAGCAAATTTGAAGTATGAGTGAAATAGCACAGGTGAACGTCCACATCATGATAGGATTTGAGAGGGTGATGAGAGCTTAGTGGAAAGGGTAAGGCCATAAGGTTCACTTGGTTCATGCAAAGACTTCTATTCGCTTGTAAAGAGGGTAGAAGCGTTTGAAAGCTTGCTTCAACCTATGTGAGGACCGGAGAACTAAGGCTGGTAAGATCAGGGCCGACCATTCCAGATACCATAGTGTAGATCTCAGAGGGTTACAGAATTCCAAGGAAAATGTAGAGCCAAAGCATGAGCCAGTCACCAAGCGTCACTTCAGGTGGCCAAATTCCAGGTAGGGCTAGGTCGAGCAAAAAAATTTGCAAAAATGTACTTCCAACTCAGGCATTCGTGGAACATGCTTAAATACAATTACGAGCCAGCTGTTTGGTACCAGACTTGCGTTCGACGATAAAAACACTGACTCAAAGGCAGTTGGCACGATAAATCCCCAAAGATGTAGGATTTATATGCCTGGCAGGGCGGATTTCCGCGACCCTGAGCAGGCCCTGCGTAGCGGTTTTTCCACGGAGGTACCCTTATAAGGGTCCTATCAAGCTACAACTTTCCGACCCAAACGCCTACCACGCCCGCCCGCCCACAAATGGACGACCCTACCAGATGCTCGTTTTGCTTCATTTGCTATTTAAAATATGAAGCGAAGGGATTGGTATGAAGCGGCTGCGTGCTGAATGGGTATATGAGTACATAGACGCAGCCGCACCTACCGGAGCGGTCATCTGCAATACGCCTACGGGAAACTCGTCCGAAATTGCTTTCCAAGAACGAAGGCTTTTCTTCGCAGTTTTCGACCGTTTCACTTCGTTTTTCGCCATTTTCCCCACTAAATAGCGCCCTGCGAGCATTTTAGGCTGAGTACCAAATTATCGTGCCAACTGCCTTTGAACATCAGCTGGGCACAGCCAATGTTACTGACCGCATTCAAAATGCCACTACTGTTCTGAATAGATATAGCTGCGCAGCAACACACCTTAAAGGAGGCACAAACTAGCCGAGATTCAGGAAGGGTGAAGGTGGTTAGCCGAGCCTCTAGCTACTGTTACTTGACCACCTAAGAAACACTCTCAATGTTACACGTTGTTGTAAATTTCCACGGAGACACTGGACATCGTCTAAACTTTATCAACAGAATAGATTGGGCAGGATCGTATTTGGCTGTTTTTTATCTTCCCCTCTTCCAGGTTGCCATATGAAAAGGGGTTTCTTCGGACCCGAGGAGCAATCTCTCACAATCATACAGGTAGTTGTCCGAACGTTATTACGCCATGCACTAATGAGCGTCTTATTTTTTCTCATATTAAATACAAAGATCCCATCTGAAAAAGTGTAAATATTACTCAATCCAGCTGATGGGGAATTGCTCAAGACTACAGAGTGAGCAAAGGTGGGTAAACCGTACATTTTGTAAAAGTACGGCTTTCTTTCCAAATGAGAAGTAGTCCACCTAACTCAAGGTCCTTCTTCGCTCGATTCCCTATTCAGGCATTGGCTCTGTGAGAAACAGCTGTATCGTCACTATATAAATTCTCTTTTTCCGTTTGTCCAGCAATTGGGGTAGGATTGTATCAATGCCTGACGGACAGGTTGTTTCACTTCTTGCCGTCATGATCAATTGCATCCCAGAGCGGTGTTCTAACTGCAATTGGATCAGCTTCGATTTGCGCGTTTGACAAAAAATGAACCGGTATAATTAGTGTATCAGGCGGTGAATCATATCACTCGTATCATTGCTCCATTATGAATGTGCAGAGATACCCTCCCAAATCCGAACAGTAAAATGTGCCACACAGAGGGACGTTTATCATTCGGAAAAATCAAATTTCAACCAAAGCACTTGTTGGCTATAGCTGAGCACCATCTGATTACAGGAACTTTTCTGTTTTTTGTTTTTTTTATTTCATTTATCCTTTGCCATCAGAGCTGGGCATTCTCAGCAAAGGTATGTCTCGAATCGGGCTCGTCGTACTGAGGTCATCCGCAACGAGAGGAGAAGGTTGTATTTGGTCAACGGAGGGTGGGAGGTCTATTTGGCCTGTGCAGATTTTTTTCTATTGGTAGTTTTTTCCTATTTCAAAAGCGTCACAACGACATTTTTTCAGAGAAAGAGTCCAAATTTTTAGAAAGTCATTGGGAAAAGTGGTAGAAAGTGGAGTGGTCAAAAGAGTCATGAGATGGTCAGAGCGATAAGAAAGGAGAGTACCGTATTTCCCAAACTATAATATTTCCCCAGCGCGTAGGCAATACTCTATGCGGGATTGCCCACATCTTACATATAAACTGGGCAATCAACGACCTCGTCCAGTTCTTGTCAGGGTAAAAGCTACGGACGGATTACCTTGGCACATAAATAATACTGGTGCAGTCAGCCATAATTATTCAGTACTTTTGTGTAGCGTATACTAGCGCACTTTCTTTTCACAAAGGTCATGTGTACGTGAACGCTTCATGAATAGGTTGTTTGCGATAGGTTTTTTATTGGCGTGACGTAGCGCAGCGGAAATTTCAAGAAGTTCTTACTATGTTACAGTATTCATAATTTCGCAACTGACTTATACTGACTACTCTCAACGCTTCTTAATTTGCTTTCTCCTTATTATCAGAAAGATCCAGAGGCGAATTCTGCGACTGTTCATGAGCAGTGAGGCTTGATTCACTAGCAGCTGTAACAGCCTCGCTTAATATTGAATCACCAGTAAAAAACACCAGGACTTCTACTCTGGAACGGAAAGCTTGAGTGAAGAGGTAGTGAGTGCGCAGACGAGACACGAGAGACAAGGCGCAAGAGAGCAGAAAGACCAGCGAGACAATAGACACGATTTCAGACATCTATGACGGGTCTATGAAGACATGAGCGTAGCGCTGTCCACCTTTGCTATAGCCGGTGCTGATGGGTCACGCCTGTGAGGTTAAGCTTCAGTACCTTGCGAACTCACCTTCAAGTCACGAAAGGATAAAGTCCGCGAACTGGGCCTTTTTGCACAAGGGAGGGGGACTGTGCAGTGTGTGGATATGCTTATATCGTCCACAAGCCAAGCATTTGAAGCATTCGGGACTAATGACACCAGGTTTGTTTCGCAATGAGTTTGTCTGATTGTGCGTCACGGTTCAACTCCTCTGAGGATCTGCTACTACCTAATGCAGGTGTGTAGCTTTCCTATCCCATCTGTCCTATGCAGCGAGTGCTAGGGGTCAGCCGACCTGAGGGTGAGTCCGGTATCCTCCCAACGAGTTTGAAAGCCCTGCGTTCTCTTGGGCGAGAGCCGATCCAGGATTTGAACCCAGGCCGGGCACGTAACAAGAGGCACCACTAGGCTGTGCACCACTCCGCCTCGGGTTGAGGTTCGGTAAAACCACTATTTCTGAAGGGGGAAGGACCGTCCCCTGAAGTAGGAAACGTTAGAGCATTGGTGTCAGAGATATTTACATAAAGATCCATTGTTCCAGCGTAACAAATGCTCAGACGGAGCTTGAGGTCACGGAGAGGCCCCAGTTGGTCCACGTATCCAAAACAGGAAACGGCCACGTTCGGTAAGTAGTCATCTAAGTAATCATCGAATGGTCTCGTCATCTATCAAGGATCGGTACTGCACTGGTATGATCTAGATAATTACTTATAGTGAAGCTGATTCGAGCCCCTCAAGCCAGCCATGTGAGATATGAGGGGCTCCACCTGAATATCTTGCTGGTACCTACAAGTGGTGGTCTCTACGACTTGAGATTTCTGATGGAAGTGGGATGCGTGGCGCAACAACCCAGATATCGAGAATTCATCAGTCCTGACCATTTTTACCATCTGACGTTTTGTGCCGAAAATTTGTGAATCAGGCAGGAGGGTCCACAAAGGAAAAGGGGAAAATGAGGCAGAAAAGAAGAAAGGTGAAAGATGCTG